ATTGTCACTGAATTTGGCAATATGGATTTGCATAGCAGATTATATTGCCTAGGGCAGAGTCTAAAGTTTATATGTAAACGAAGGCATGCTAAAATCATGAATATTTGCTCGTATGCAAATCTGAGACAGATATCAGAATTACTATGAAGTTTAAAATTTGAAAATTACATGATTTGTCAATTTTAAGGATTTCATGCATTTAGTTTTACATAGTTTACAAATGAAAAGAAATAAGTAAATGTTTCACTTCCAAAATCCCACTACATTTAAACCGCTGAAAACTTTCACAAGCAACAGAACTTAGTTCAATAAAAAAAAAATCTCTTTACAAATATCGTCAAATAATAAAATGAATTTGACAATTCTTCATTTATATGTTTTGTCCCTTGCTATGTGTAATCATTCATTAATCAAATCAAGAAGAACAAAACACAAAGTTGCCCTTTAATTATATAGCTTACTCGGACTCTAATACGCAAAATAATACGCCTTATATTCTTCTTAACTTATAGTTATCAGTAGTTGGGAATAAGATACCTCGCATAGTTACTGGTCGCATTTTTTATATAAGAGATATTTAAATTAAAATGAACATACAAGTAACTTACTTTACGAACAAAATTTTTATATTTCCAGTTAAATGTGATTCACGAATATACTTATCATTATAGTCATTATAAATCCGTGGCCTTTGTCTATTTAAGTCGCATATTTTGAGGAACTCGTTTGGTTAAGCAATGATTGAAAACATTACCAGTTTGCATAAAAATATTTATATGCTCTAATGAAGTTTTTTAAATGTTAACCGGAAATATGAAACTACAAGAAGTCGATTTGCGTAGACCCATATTGTGTGTATAATACCATTTTTAACTGAATATGACTCAACAGCAAGTATTTGAAATCTTACATTAGTACGCATAATAATTGATTGAATTTATTGAGATTTCAGTTGAATATGAATGCAATGTATAATTATGTTAATTATATTATAGCAATAGAAATTTCAATTTTATGAATAATAAACTCATCCTTTTCGTCCAAATTCTTACCAGCCCAGCTTATCCTGTAATTGATAAATATATATCGTTCATCATCATTCATCATCCATCTCATCATTTTCATACCTAAAAGTGGAATTGGTTTATCGATTTATATTACACCGCAGCAAAAGTTGTGTTAATGCGCCAATAAAAAAGAGCAATTTTTTTTCTTAATCTCAAGCATTTTTCTTGTAGAATTCTGGTTGCCTTATTGTTTCAGGCGCAATTTCGGTGTTATGCAAATTTAAAATTTTAATTTGTTTTTTTTTATTTAATATTTTTTACAGAATTGCAATATTGAGTAATTTATCTTTAAGCATAATGATGTACATAACTAAATCATATTTAACTTCCCGTAGGGCAAGTTATAGTAATCGCAAAAAAATCGAAAATGAAATTTTTTATATATCTTTACGTTTCAAAGGTTTCTGAACATTTTGGCATACCTTAGAAAAAATGGATGTGTGTGTGTGTGTGTGTGTGTGTGTGTGTGTATGTGTGTGTGTACGTATGTACGTGTGTGTATGTATGTGCGGATACAAATTTTCGTCGACGATTTCGGGAACACGGATCAACCGATTTGAATAATTCAAAAAACATTCGATTCGTATTGATAAGGAGACGTGCTGATTAGTTTTTGGCGAAGGCAGGTCTAGCCGTTCCGAAGATACGGGGCAAAAAGTGCCGAAAACGGTAACTCAGTTTTTAAGAGAACGGAGCGTCCGATTTAAATAATTCAAAAAACATTTCACTTGTATTGACAAGATGAAGAATCGATAAAATTTTCATAAACGTAGGTCTAGCGGTTTCGGAGATATGTAGGAAAAAGTAAAAACATGAGCCATTTGGCGGTCAAAAATGATCATTAGACATATGCACATCAAATTATCAGATGTTTTTTAGAGATTTTAACAATAAGTATATTTTTGTTTTACATTTCTATGGGTTCCGTACCAATGCTTACGCGTTAGACGGCGACGAGGCGCTTACGCGCTTTGACATTTCGTCTTTATGCAATTAAAGCAGTACGATTGCTTTGAAAAAAAGTTTAGATCTTTCAAAATATGTCAAAATAAAAAACAAAATTTTTTTTTAAAAAAAAAAATTTAATTTTTTTTTTTTCAAAAAAAAGTAATTTTTTGTCCAATTTATAGTTTCTCAAAAATCTTATTTTTTTTGAAGTAAAATTTTTTCAAAAATGTTTTTAAAAAAAATAATAATTTTTGGTACGGAAAGTTCCAGCAATTTGCCTTAAGGCACGATGCTTTAATTGCCTTAAGACAGAATTCCACTTACAGCTAGTTTTATTATAAAATTGAAATTATTGTAAGTGCCATTGTGAAATTTTTACATTGTCACGATATTCCCAAACAAACGTGCAGGAAAGTTTTCAGATCGAATGATATGATGGTAAAATATAAAATACAATCATAAGCTAGAAGTAACTCATATAATTTTGGAATATTGTCCCTCATAATACTCATTGTTTATAAGGGTTACCTCTGTTACATGCACCTGGTACTTCGGTACCGTTAATTATAGAAGTAACTTTTGTTCGAATTATATAGTATGTTTGATAATAAAAATCGATTGTTTCGCCCCAAACAGGTATGTAAATCTATAAATTAAGCAATTTATTTAATGTCCATCTGCAACTTATTGTTAGTTAATTTTAACATACATTTATATAGTAAGTACGAATATTGGACGATTATCTTAAATTTTTAAATCAATTGTGCTTATTCAGTTTATGCAATAAATTGAAATCAATAACGATTTTTTATTGCCTGCAATGAGTATAATTGCGTGAATAATCTTAATATATACTAAATATCTATTAAATTTGTACTGAATTTATACTAAATTTGTAAAATAAAAATGAACTATTTTTGATCGTACATCATGCCAAAAATTTGTTGATACAAAGTTATAAAAATTGTCAAAGTAATAGAAATAACTATAATAAAACTATTTATATGGTTAGTTATAACCATTTAATATAAGTTTTAATATAATTCTGCATTTTTTATGCTAGTTTTAATATCAACCATCCTAAATAAAGTTCACTGCAATTACTACAAATGCATCAGATTTTAATATTATAATAAGAGTTTATCGTTGATGGAAATTTTAGAATTTTTCTTATCGAACCAAATAGATCTATATGTTTGAGCTTGATTTGCTTAAATTTGTCGACTACTTTTACAAAAATATAATTATTGGTGCATAGTATTCTGTCTTAAGGCAAATTTCTGTAACTCCCATACCTTAATTTAAAATGAGAATTTTGAATTTGCTTTTGAAAATATTTAAAACATTTAAAAAATCTGGATATTTTTTAAAAAAATACTTTTTTTGAAAATACTGATATTGTTTGAAAACTCAGATTTTTTTTGACAACTAAATTTTAAAAAAAATTTTGAAAGTTTTAAAAATTTTGAAATTTCTTGAAAGTTTTTGATACACTTTCATATGGGTTGATTCAAATTACAAAATAATGATTTTTGACCGCCAAATGTTTTTTTTTAAACTTTACATACTGGATCTCCGTAACCGTTGGACCAGTTTTTCCAAAAACTTATCAATTCTTCATTACGTCAAACAAGTGGAATGTTTACTGAATCAAATCGGATGCTCCATTCTCTTACAATCTGAATTTCCATTTTCTGCATTCTTTGCTTCGTATCTTAAAAACGGCTGCACCAACTTTTGCCTAAAACTAATCAGCTTTTTAAATAATTTTTTGCACCCATACATACATACATACTACATCCACACATTCACATTCACACACACATCATCTTTTTGCTAATTTGCAAAAATTTTCAATTTTTATATATCTTTACGTTTTAGAAGTTTCTGAACATTTTGACATACCTGATATTGTTTGATGTGGATGCGGATGTATGTGTGTGTGCGGATACAAATTTTCGTTGACGATTTCGGTAACACGGTTCAACCGATTTCAATTATTCAAAAAACAATCGATTCCTATTAATACGGAGACGTGGTGATTACTTTTTGGCACAGACAGGTCTAGCCGTTTCAAAGATACGGGGAAAAAGTGCCAAAAACGGTATCTAAGTTTTTAAGAGAACGGAGCGTCCGATTTTAATAATTCAAAAAATATTTTACTTGTATTGACAAGATAAAGAACGGATTAACTGATTTTTAGTATGGCAGGTATAGCGGTTTCGGAGATCTAGTAAAAAAAGTAAGAAAAAATGCAATTTTAAGGTCAAAAATAATCATTAGACATACGCACATCAAATTATCAGATATTTTATGGAGATTTATTAATGTGTAACAATTTTGTTTGCATTTCTATGGGTTTCGTAATATCGTTTGCCCGTTAGTTGCGACGCGGCGCTTACGCGCTTCGATATTGCGTCTCTATGCAGCTAAAGCAGTGCGATTGCTTTGAAAAAAGTTCAAAATTTCCAAAATATTTCAAAATAAAAAAAAACATTTTTTGCCAAAAGTTTTTTTTTCAAAAATTTAAAATTTCTCAAAAATCTATCTTTTTCAAAATTCAAAACAAATTTAATCTTTTTTAAAAAAAATAATTTTTGGCACTGAAAGTTCGAGCAATTTGCCTTAAGGCACGATGCCATACACCACTAGTAAATTTTTCACCGGCATGCATAAGATCACGTCGCTGGACTAATACGGCTTCCTAGTTCCTACAATCATTCGATCTTATGCAAACCTTTCCATACCGTCGTGAAGATCTTCGGCATCTCGAGATCTTTAGAGTGCTTCAGATCTTCAGAACTTGAGACGTTCAGGAATGTTTTGCTTTTCCCGAATGCTCGTCCTTTGCCAATCGCCAATGTCTCGGTTCGTTCGGGTTCGTTCGGATACGTTCGGATCTGCATTGTACGTGGTTTGAACTTGCACCGACGGGCCGCGGTACCAATACCGAACTACCGAATACAATAGCAGGGGATAGTGCATGGTGGTTCGCTGAGAATCTGAGATCAGTGCTCATCAGTCGTTCGAGCTGTTCGGTTGTATCTTTTCGTGCGGCTATATGTTTGATGTTTGTTGTGCGTTATGATTATATTTTACCGTTGTTTCACTCGAACTTATAGTAAATAATTTGCAGTGTTTTAAAAGGATTTTATTTTGTCACGTGTGTTTTGTTTGAATTTGTGTGGATTTATACAGGATATAAAGGTTAGTAGATTCAAAAATAATAATAAATTCATTAAACTTATTAAACCATAAATTTAATTCGATTTATATATATATATATATATATATATATATATATATATATATATATATATGTTGAAAGATTAAATCTTCATGGCAACACATGAAAATTGTGGAAATTTTATAAATCTTTATTATTTCCATACCTTTCGACAATTTATCTTATGTCATCTTCAGTGGAGTACAAATTGAAACACAATACTAAACTAGTTTAGTACTGCTATTGTGAATTACTATTATCATAAAATAATTAGGAACATTTTAATGTACATATAAGTCTTTACACCATATTACGTTTAATAAATTAGTTTTATTTATCAGTGTTTCATTCTCACAAACTTTAAACTGTAGTTATTTTATATCTGTTTTTTTTTTTCAATTTGTAGTTTACTGAAAATGACATGACATAATATGTCGAAACCAAACAATATTAGGTAAATTAAAAATCTGCGATTTAAGTTTTGATTTTGAAGGAAAAAAATATTGTCCGAATTGTACATGACTTATATATAAGTCATATAAACCATTTATTTTATATAGTTTATTTTTTAATACAGATTACTTAATACAGAATGATATATTTTAATAGTAATATTAGAATGTATTTTTTGTGAATCGTTTAAATGACTAAATTGTTAATAGAAGACAAAAATAATCATATTGAAAAAAATATTCTGCGCGAAATATAACAATAATTTAAAAAAAACACAATACAAACTAGTAGGGTGGGTGGCATCGTGCCTTAAAGCAAATTGCTGGAACTTCCCGTACCGTAACGAAATGTTCGGGGAATACTGAATGTTTTCAAATAGATTATTATAAATATTGTAACATTGTCTAATATTTATAAGAATTATATAAACTGAATTGCAAAGTTGAAATTATTTGTTTAAAGTATATTAGAACTATAGTCAAAAAAAATTTTTTTTTAAATCAATTATTTCGTTAAGACAAGCAGAAAGTTCTTTGAATCAATTGAATCGGACGCTTAGTTCTCTCAAAAACTGCCATTTTTTGTACATTTAGCTCTGTATCTCCGAAATGGCTCGACCTGCCTTTGCTAAAAACTAATAACCAATTCTCCCAATCATTACTAATTGAATGTTTGTTAGTTCATTCAAATCGGATGGTCCGTTCTCTTAAAAACTCGATTTCTATTTTCTGCACTCTTTGTTCCGTATCTCCGTAACGGCTGGACCTGCCTATGCCAAAAACTAATCAGCACATCTCCTTATCAATAGGAATCAAAAATGTTTTTTGAACCATTCAAATCGTTTGATCCGTACGCCCGAAAACATGGACGAAAAATTGTATCCATACATACATACGCACACACACATCCATTTTTTCTGAAGTATGCCAAAATGTTCAGAAACCTTCAAAACGTCGAGAAATGTAAAAAATTTCAATTCCGATTTTCGGCCCATTACAATAACTTACCCTACGGGAAGTTAAAAAGAATAAACAATTATAAGTAATACTTTTTATTGTATAGAATATGTAAAATAATTGAAGTCTGTTATTGTATATGTTTTATATATGAAAAATACCATATAAAAACTGATAAAAAGGGCTTTTTATGATAAATTTCGTTTTCGGTTTTCCATATAAAAGTGATTTTTTCGAGTTACAGTTAACACATCTCTGCTGAAAATGTTTTAACGTTATTGTTGAATATTCGTAATAGCCTTATAAATGTTAGTACAACTTTTATTGTAATCCTTTTGAATATTTTGAACGACGTGTCTTTATTGCCTTATATATGAATGGCACACGTATAAATGTGTATTTTCCTATGCGTAATTGTATTTTATTCAAATGTGCCACATGTTTTGTTGATATGTAGTATAATATAACATTTACCATATTTTTCACATTAAGTAACACTTCAATTTACCGAATTCAATTATAACGTGTCTTTAACCCACGTGTATATTTGACATCCCACGCTCTGCATGAGGGCTTTCGGTAAAATAACAGAACTGCCTCTATTTAATACTAGTATAAGTCATGGCGTTTTCAAACATTTCATTAAATATAGTAAATGGATTCGATTCGTGAAATAATGTTCGTAATTTTCACCTTAGATCTACCCACAAGTAGAATATAGTGTGTCGTTTTATTGACAGAATTTTGCAAGCAACTTCCTGTGTATATAAGCATGCAAATAAGGACAGTACGATATATTAAAATTACCTTACAGCAGAAGTAATTTCAATATGTGCACACATAATAAAAAAAGATACGTGGAATATATGTGTCGATACATATTCATGTTAAGGTGTGCTGTTATTTTGTGAGTGAAATATTAAACTAGTGGTGTATGGCATCATGCCTTAAATTGCTGGAACTTCCCGTACTGTAATCAAATCATCGAGGAATGTTTTTATATAGATTTTTATAAATATTTTAACATTGTCTAATATTTATAAGAATTATATAAACTGAATTGCAAAGTTGAATTTATTTGTTTAAAGTATATTAGAACAAAATTAAAATTAAAATCTGAATAATTTTCGATATACAAAAAAATTTTTTTTTTTTGAAAAAAAAAATAGAAACAAAAAAAATTGCCAAAAGCATTCATTTTGTTGAAACAAGCAGAAAGTTTTTTGAATAATTCAAATCGGACTCTTAGTTTTCTCAAAAAATACCATTTTTGCACATTTAACTCTGTATCTTCAAAATGGCTGAACCTGTCTTTGCAAAAAACTAATCACCTCTTTGCCCAACCATTACAAATTGAATGTTTTTTAGATCATTCAAATCGGATAGTCCGTTCTCTCAAAAACTCGATTTGTATTTTCTGCACTCTTTGCTCCGTATCTCCGTAACGGCTGGACCTGCCTTTGTCAAAAACTAATCAGCACATCTTATCAATAGGAGTCGAATGTTTTTTGAATTATTCAAATCGGTTGATCCGTGCGCCCGAAAACGTGGACGAAAAAATGCGCACATACAAAACACACACACACATCCAATTTTTCTGAGGTATGCCAAAATGTTCAGAAACCTTCAAACCGTCGAGAAATGCAAAAGTTTTCATTTTAAATTTTCGGATCATTACTATAACTACCCTACGGGAAGTTAAAAATATATGATTCTAATAATACATAAATTTTTTACATCAACTTTAACTTCCCGTAGGGATAGTTTTCAAAAAAATCGAATATATTTTTTTAATATATAATTACATTTCAAAGGTTTCTGAACATGTTGCCAACACCTTAAGAAATATATGTGTGTGTATGTATGCGTGTGTATAAAAACATTATTTTGTATTGATGGGGAGACGTGCTGATAGTTTTTGGCAAAGGCAGGTCCAGCCGTTTCGACGATACGGGACAAAATGTGCCAAAAATGGTAATTCAGTTTTTGAGTAACGCAGCGTCCGATTTGAGTATTTCAAAGCCTTAAGTTTCTATATTATATTGTTAATATTTTATTACATTTATTATTTTATTATTTAGTTGTTTGCTTCTAGTAAATGAATGAAATATCTATACAATATGCCTGTTATTTGATTTGCCTATTGTTTCTGTTTTGTAACATGGTTTTAATTATAATCGTTATGGTCATGAATATTTAGCTCTGACTAATTTTATCCTAAAATTATTTACTTCAACCATTGCACGTATATTTCACTTTTATTACATCAATCTCACCAATCTAACTTTTAAAATAAATCTTATATTAGAAATCAAAATGTGTGTTAAAATCATAAATGTATTACATCTGTTTTATTGAAAGAATCTTTTGCCAGTCAGAGACAAACTGATATTGAAGACGTTCATTCTCTCACGTGATGTTTAATTGAAAGCTATTTGAAAGTATGCTAAGAATTAAATTTACTTTCATATATTTATTCATTTTAGTATTGAGATTCCATTCCATTATTCTATACTGTTTTTAATTAATCATTTATTCGATAATACAATATAATGACAAACCTTTCATATTCTTGCTAATTAGAAGCGTATTTTTTCAATTCACCGTAATTAGTTATTTCATCAATGTAATACTGAAATATTACTTTTGAACCTAGGAGTTATTTGGCATGATCTGAGAATCGACTTAAAACTGCAAACCGTTTGGCCTTAAACACTTATTTTAATAAGAAAATTCTTGAAATATACATTTTTACGAGTACATTAATAGTGTTTTTTTCTTGAACTATCGGACGACAAATTTTGTTGTAATAGTATAACATTTTGTAACAATATATTCCTAAAATTATTCAAAATTAATGTAATTATCGATGTTTGGGGTCATTAAATGAATCATATTATTTCTATAAATAATTAAACAAGAATTGTACTACACAAGAGATAGCTGGATCGGGTTCGATTCGTACCGATACCGGTTATTACTTGTAAGATATATAAATAGCATGTAAATATATTGTTAAGTTATACATTTTCAAGACCAATACAGCATTACTCACTAACAAAGACAACATGTAACATGCTATTATGAATTATAACGTATTATTTCAAAAATTTATGCGTTGGTTTTAGACATGCTCATTATTCTGTGCTAGTTTAAATTGTCTTTGTTTTCTCGAGTAAAACGTCGAATGTGTGTAATCCCAATTAAAATCGTTCTACTTTTAAATTGAAGACATTTTTGTGTGTTCAAAGTAATGATAACAGGTTTATCAAACACTTAATCAAAATCATTTATTTTACTCACTGATATACATGTGTCTGCATTCTTAACCTAAGTCTTTAAGCCACATATATATTATAAACTTTTTTTACAATTTCCGGTAGCGTAACCTATTTTTTCTGTTATAAAAATATTGCATAAATGCAATATAAGTACTTGTTGAAATATTCTTATACGTCCGGTATTTTTAGTTTTAATACCAGCAGAAATTCATGTTTAGTAATCTGTTTTATCAAACTCTGAGTTATAATTATGTCTTACTCTGCACAATTTTTTTTTATAAAAATGAAAAA